GTAGTGGACCACCCCTTTAACCAATTTAGATTTCCCAATAAAATCTCAAGAACTGTGCTGTTTCAGCTCATTTTAAATAGTTTGAACAAAAAGCAAAAACATTTTTTGAGAGTAAAATAAACTATACTGTGTTTTTTTTTTTTTCTCATTAGTTAGATACATTAATTAAAGCAAAAAAAAATAAAAATAAATAAATCAAAATGAATTGTCATGCAGGGAAAGTCAACTTACAGTTATTCACCATATTTCTTAAGGAAACTTACTGTTATTCAGGTTACATATTTTTTACTGTAGCCTTTTTAAAGTTTTTTTTATTACTATAGAAATCACTGCCGTTTTTTACAGTGTGTGTACAAACCCTGCTGTCTTCACTGGGCCTTGATTGGACAGTGTTTATGAAGGCAGCTGAGTATGACAAGCAGTGTTGTCTCAGGCCCAAAAGCACACTAGAGTGCCTTGAATCACTAATACCCTCTCAAGCCACACACATGTGGCGTCTGCCTCCCTTGATAACCTGCAGCCCTCTCCAAGGTCTGACCGCTGCACCTGTTGAAGTGGGTTATGCCAAGCTCGGCTCTGCCACCTGCCCCCTGCTCAGACTCATTGGAGTCTTCATGCCATCTTTGACCTCTGCCCTGCGCTGCCTGCTGTCTGGCCGCCAGTCTCCAAATGGCATGCATTGTGTTCTGTAGAGGCTTTCTGGACATGTTGTAAAATGCTTCTCTTGTGGCACTACCGTGTAATGTAATGATTGAGTGCTGGCTAATCTACATGTTTGTTTGTTTGTTTGCTAACCCCACTAAAATGACAATGAAACCATTTGCTGTGTTATAGAAAGAAATGTGTTGAGTTAAACTATAAAATAAAGATGAAGACTGATGAAGAAATAAAGTAGGAAACAAAGGGAGCTTGTTAAAACCATTGCAAACTTTATCAAATTTCAAATTCTCAATTTTTTTATCTGTAGTTTTCCAATGCTAACTTAACTAGTTCATAGACAGCTTAACTGATTGATGATCATTCATTCATTCATTCATTCATTCATTCATTTTCTTTTTGGCTTAGTCCCTTTATTAAGGGGTGGCCACAACAAAATTAACTTATCCAGCATATGTTTTACGCAGCGAATGACCTTCCAGCTGCAACACATTACTGGGAAACATCACATTACTGGTAAACGCGTACACTACAGCCAATTTAGCCTCCCAATTCACCTATACTGCATGCTTTTGGACTTGTTTGGGAATTGGGAAACCAGAGCACCTGAAGGAAACCCACGTGAACATGATGAGAACATGCAAACTCTTCACACAGAAATGGCAACTGACCCAGCTGAAGCTCGAACCAGCGACCTTCTTGCTGTGAAGCAATCGTGCTACCCACTGCACCACAGTGACACCCTGATAAATAACCAATGCAATCCAATTTGACTTCCCATAAATGTCTAGTGTCAGAGGGATATTCCTGCAGTGTGTACTTATCACAACCATTAAATTAATTACCAATATGATTATAGAATCTGATTGCACAGTTATTGGGCTCTATTTTAACGATCTAGGCGCAAAGTCTAAAGTGCAGGCAAAAGCATTAAGGGCATGTCCGAATCCACTTTTTGCTATTTCAAGGATGGAAAAATACAATCTGTGCCACGGTGCATGGTCTAACAGGGTTGTGCTTATTCTCTTAATGATTTATGGGTGTGTTTTGTGCATAACGTGCATTAAACCAATCAGTGTCACATCTCCCATTCCCTTTAAGAGTCAGTTGTGTCACAACATGGTGCATTTGCTATTTACATGGATGAATTTGTAAGTGGAAAAACTGAACGCTTCACTAGCAAGTTGAACAGACCATCTGCAGCGAGGATAAAAATGAGCCTCCTCCATTCGTCCTCTTTACTTTCTCTTTACCTTTACTCTTTACTTTACTCCTTTACTTTTGTAGAAAAGGAAACAGTGTTGTACGCACTCCACTGAAGACATCCATCAGCCTACATATTTAATTCCGTTTGTTAAGCGCAAAGATTTGTTTCAGAACTATTTCTAAATTCAATTCTGATTTCAAGCAACTGAATAAATGAACAGTAATGATGAAGTGTGGTCAAAAAACTGAGTTATATCCAAACACACATCCTATGCCTCATATGGCTATGCAAACGTCTCCCAAACCCAACAGGTGGACAAATCTAGACTTGTTTTTATTTTAAAAAAAAAAAAAAAAGTTTTTAGCTGGTTAACTGTACAGTCTATTTTAGCTCCTCAAAATAGCAACACGCCAACAATGCGCTTTAACACACCTCCTTTCTAGACTGGAACACCCATGAGTCCACAAAGTGGCACAATTGGATTGACTATTTAAACAACGTGGCACAAATTGGGAAAATTACAGTTGCATTGGGCTGATAATTGGGCCTATTAGAGCAACAAACCAACATTTGCTCTACATGTCATGTTAATGTTTTCCTTTTCTTTTTGTTTTTCATTTCAAAACAAGCTTTGCTAACTATTAACTCAACAGGTGTTACTTTGTCTTACTTTGATTGGGGCTTACAGTTGCCGAATGTTATGTGTTGTAGATGCAAACACAGGGTATGAGTCTTCTTCCGTGTGTTCATATAGTGTAGCAACTATTATTATGCATCAAATTAGGATTTTTTTTTTTCAAAACAAAAAATGTAAATAAAAATTCTTACACATACCTTAGGAACGGTATAGTAGAAAATTTAGGCGGTTTTAAAATGTTGACTTTTCCAAGCTGAGGTATACCTTGAAAGCGTTTATCGTCCTGTAGGGGTAGTTTACAAATTGACCCAAAGACTGACCAGTCTGGTAGATGAAGAAGAGCCGGAGTCAGAGATTTAAATAAATAAATCAAGTTTACTGAAGATAGTTTGCAGTTTTATCCGCAGAAGCCAGCATCAAAACTCGCAATGAGTTCCTAGGCCGCTCTGCTTACATTCACCAATCAATAACAATTATACTCTCACATAACGTCATTAACTGCGTCATACATACAGGTGTCCTAACCTGATTGGTTAAAACACAGATAGACTAGGAACATTTCCACGTGGGGTTTGTGCGTATATTCTGAACAATATCTTAAGCATAAACATCAGACATCCCTTAAACTGATTAGAGCTGACTCCAGACCAAGTGTGCCGCAAGCCTACGTTTGAGTGAAGGTTTCGGCCGTTAGATCGCCCCCTGGGGGCTGGCTGCAGTACAAGTCATAAAGCCCGCCTCCTCCGTGTTAATGAAGGAGACTTGAGCCCAAATAAAAAAAAATATTACACTTGCAATAAAATGTCCCGAAAGATGGTTCTGGTCGATTAAGGCACTGGTTATTGTGCTGAAATAGGTGCAGATCTTCATTTTTGTAAACAGTTTGTTTTTAGCAGTAATTTAATGCTGGGCGTGTCATCGTGATTGACAGCTGTGATTGACAGTTTCTCAAAGCGCGGCGTCTGAGCTTCGGCAGGAGACTGAAGTAGACTGAAATGTTATTATTCGATTTCTGTGTTATTTTACCATGACAAAATGAGTTCAGCAGTAAACTATAGTTTCTGACATACATGATCCTGGTGGAACACTGTTTATTCGCTAAGTTCAGGGCTTTTTTCGGGCTTTATTAGTTTGCTGATACACGCCTAACCACCCAGATAGCAAAACACAGTTCCGGCTAGATTCTCGCCTGCCGGAGACTTATCTCTTAGAGCTCAGACTGACTAATGTTACCTCTGCTGGACCTACTCCGGATGCCTGGACTCACTACCCAATTCCAGCCCTAGTCATTCGAGCCAGATGCGGCGGCCGAGCGAGCAGGCGCTGCCGCATGCGAGCCGGAATCAGCCCGCGACGCCGCGAGTAAGTTATGCGCTGCGGCCTGGAGCTGGCGCGATTGAATATATAAAACCCTCATATTTGTTAACGTTATTACATCCATTTGTGTTGATATGACAGCAAACGCATGCTGAGAAGTTCGTGGGGCGTAGTTGATTTTACATAAAGCGTTTGATTGGAAGCTCGACTCTGCTCATTTTCGCGGCTCCTCCTCTGGCTCCATCAGACAATCCTTCTGCGCATGTCTGGCTCCAATTTCAGCAGTCTTTTGCGACAGTTTGTGCCCGTCAAGCAGGCGTTTTGCCCTCAAGGCGTTCAATGGGAAAAAGGGCTGTCGCGTCGTCCATATTTTTTACAGTCATTGCTCCAGACCTGTGAAACAGATCAACAATCAAATAGAACACACACACATGAAGTATAATCTGTTTCTTATCCAAGGCTGAGTGTACTGTCAGCCGTCTTTATCGAAACTGGTTAAAAACTGGTATAATCTACATTCAGGCAGTTATATTCTTACTACACAAAGTCTATCTTGAATAAAAAGTAGAATCACTTTAAAAGATTTAACCGTAAAAAATAGCAAAATCACTTTAGACATTTTAGACAGTATTAACTCATAGAAATAACAATAGAAACAGTTGTTTCCAGTCCTCAGCCCTCAGTTCCACTCAAGGTCCCCATGACCTCTGACCTAGTTTGCTGGCTCCTGAAAATAGGTATAAAGAGATAGGCAAATGCACTGAACATTCTTATATTAACCAATGTGTTAACTAATTCATTAATTAAAATCAATTCACAGTTAAATACTGAGAAACAGGATGATGAAAAGGATAAACGTTGGTCCATGATGAGATGGACTGGAAAGCAGAAATCCGAATCCTTCAATCCCATGCCTTTTTGTGTAATAGGTGCTATAGGTGCTTGATGTATTTCCCAGAATGTTAACTTATCTTACTAAGTAAACCTGATTCTTGTCCCAACAACTAAGCCAGCAAACAAATCAGGTACAAACAGTACAGCGGTGTGCAGCCTAACAATCTGCTAAAGCTATAGTCATATAGGTGGGTTTTGCATGTGTTGTGAGTGCAGCTTTTGGTTTTGGGCTTGTGATTGTGACTGCTTATGCATTGAAAAGATGAGTAACTGTTGCTGAATTTGCAGGGTGAGCTAGGGATGCCTGGAATGCCTGGGAAACAAGGAGTGAAGGTAGTTCACTTCTACTACAGCCTTCATCCAACTCCATGATCCACAGCTTTTTATAATAATAAAAAAGCAATCCTTTTTTCCCAGTATCTTGCATGCTGTCGCAGAAGCATTCCACTGCTAAAAGTCTTCTTTGAAAGCTCAGTCTTATCTGTTATGATCCTATGTTCAACTGCTCTCACACTAGAGGCCGATTAATTGGCGATTATACAGGCACGTCACATACAACCGTCTCACCTTCTTACACTGTAAAGTGGCCTCTGAGATTTGAGGAATGAGATGGCAGGAGATAGACGGATGGTGCCACTAGCGGTCTGTCCCCCCTGCCACCCTCGACCTTCGATGGGTCGAGTGTCCGCATGCGACCGCAGCTGTGTCTTTAGATCACTGCCTTCATGCCTGCTCATTAGTCTGAGATAACAGACACAAATTAAATAACTGTCATGTGCTCTTTACTATTAATAACAAACCAATAGTGTGCTGGCTTATTGCGGCACTTCTAGTGATCAGCTACTTGCGTGCCTGGAGAGCACAAACTTCAACATACCAATCTAAATATTGAGACCGGCGCACACTGTTTAATCGCTTCAATAGAAATTATGTCATCTGTGAGACCCTTAGGGGTTTATGATAGTTGTAAACAGTGTTTGTCTAAATAATTATTTTCATTTGAAATTACTCCTGGCATTTGTTGATGTTCTGAGGTCAGCATGTTTAAGTCTTTTCTCACTGTTTTGTTTTTCTCTCTCTCTTTGTGTGTGTGTTGTTTGTTCTCATGTTGACATTGTGAACCCTTCAGGGAGAGCCTGGTTTCCCAGGTATCCCTGGGCGAAAGGTAAAGGCCTGGTTTGATGTGCTAGTGATTAGGGCTGGGCGATTAATCGAAAAAGTAATCGAAATCGACATTTAGAACCTATAATCAATCAAATTTTTTCCGGTCAATTATTTCAACTACTTTCCTTACACAATCAGAATTAAAGGTGCATATTTGTACCTGAAGGGTCCATAATCGCACTTCAAAGGTACTTTTTAGGTACATTTGGGCACTGATATGCACCTTTAAGATACCACTGTGGATTCTTTGCGAACAAATATGTAACTTTTGAAAAAGTACCGCCCCAGTGTCAGCTCCTGTACCTTTATTTCTGAGAGTGTACCGTTTGTGGAGTCACATAACCCCACTCTGTTAAGGCTGATTTATACTACGTCGAATGCACAGGTATGGTCTGGCAAAGCCCTCGCACGGTCGCAAACCCATGCACCTGTTAAAAAATGTTACTATACATCGCACATTTGCACTATATTGACGATGATTGAAAGCTGTGCCGGAGATGCCTTGTGGCGGCATATTGTCTAATACAATAAAATTATTATTAACATGAAAATATTTGGGGCGGCACAGTGGCGCAGTAGGTAGTGCTGTCGCCTCACAGCAAGAAGGTCGCTGGTTTAAGCCTCGGCTGGGTCAGTTGGCATTTCTGTGTGGAGTTTGCATGTTCTCCCTGTGTTCGTGTGGGTTTCTTCCGAGTGCTCCGGTTTCCCCCACAGTCCAAAGACATGTGGTACAGTTCAATTGGATAGGCTAAATTGTCTATAGTGTATATGTGTGAATGAGAGTGTATGGATGTTTCCCAGAGATGGGTTGCAGCTGGAAAGGCATCCGCTGTATAAAACAGATGCTGGATAAGTATGTGGTTCATTCCGCTGTGGCGACCCTGGATTAATAAAGGGACTAAGCTGAAAATGAATTAATGAATGAATGAAAATATTTGTTTACAGAAGAGGCAAGAAATGCACTGTTTAAAATATTATTTACAGCAGGGGTGCTCAACCCTGTTCCTGGAGATCTACCTTCCTACAAAATTCAGCTCCAACCTTGAGCAAACGCACCTGAACTAATTAATTAGGACCTGAACAGCAATTGATAATTACAGGCAGGTGTGTGACAAGGGTTGCAACTGAAATCTGCAGGAAGGTAGATCTCCAGGAACAGGGTTGAGCACCCCTGATTTACAGCATATTTTATTTAGAAGAGACAACACTTATTTTCTACTTTTGAAAACAATGAAAATAATTAATTTCTTTTTCAAAGGTGCAAGTTTTATTTGCAAGTATTATTTTGCAAACAAATATTTTTCACTTTTTTTCTAAGAAAAATTGACTGTTGGTTTTAGTCAATGTGTGTTTTAATTAGTTACAAACGTTGAACAAGAATAGTTGTTCAACGTTGATGTTGAATTAATAATCCTAGATAGTATATAGTGTGTTTCCTTCAATTATTCTAAAATCAATAATGCACCCTTCATTTAAATATCTCTCAATTGTAGTATGTGAGCCTATTTACTATACAAAACCTGTCAGTGAACTATAAGGGAAGAAAAATAAAATACAGAAATAAACGAATCGTTCATTAATCATAATCCTGATCAAATTTTCAATTAATCAAGATTTTGATTGTAGCTCAAATCGCCCAGCTCTACTTGTGATTTCAGCACATTTGTGTAGCTCTTAAAATAATGGAGTTTTCTTTCTCTGTGAAGGGTCAGACAGGTCTTTCTGGTATCCCTGGAAAACGGGGCTACAAGGTACACCCGAATGTGTGCCATACCTATTAGATAACAATTTGTGATCATGAGCATTGAGTTTTAATTGCACTTTTTCTCCCAAAACCAATTTTTGGCCATTCTTTTAATTATTTGCCATGCTTGAAATTATAAAATACAGCCATGTAAAAGAGGCCATACAACTCAGATACCTTATTGCAAGTTTTTTTTATTACAATTTTTTAGTGCTGTGCGATTAATCAAATCGCAAACGCGATTTTAAAAAAATGAGGAATTACAACAACCAGCACCTAAAAAAGCCTGCTATAGACTGCTATATAAGAAGTGTCTTGCTAAAAGCTTGTTGAAAGTATTGCCAGTGACACTCAATTTAGTAGCAAACAGCTATGTCAGAGTTGTTTCAGCCATGTTAGTTTGCTGAGTGTTCTGTATTTTTATAATTATTATATTTTTTGTTATATATATATATATATATATATATATATATATATATATATATATATATATATATATATATATATATATATATATATATATATATATATATATATATATATATATATATATATATATATATATATATATATATATATATATATATATATATATATATATATATATATATATATATATATATATATATATATATATATATATATATATATATATATATATATATATATATATATATATATATATATATATATATATATATATATATATATATATATATATANATATATATATATATATATATATATATATATATATATATATATATATATATATATATATATATATATATATATATATATATATATATATATATATATATATATATATATATATATATATATATATATATATATATATATATATATATATATATATATATATATATATATATATATATATATATAT